GATACGTAATGGAGGCAGGGCATTTAACAATTAACTTTATTATCCAAAATGAGTCTGACATCAGTGCACTGAACAGTGAAGATGAAGTTTATTCAGATTTAATTCAATTCAATTCCATTCAACTTTATTCAGTTGAAGTTTATTTCACTTCGGGAACATTCATTCACGGATTTGCACTACTGTCTTCACACACTAAAGACTTAAGAAACTATTACTTCTATTACTTCTATTAAGAAACTTAATAGAAAAATTTTCATATCGGCGGCATATTCGCCGATACCGATATATAGTGGCGACAGGCTCATATCGGCCGATAATATCGGCAAAACGATATATCGGTCGGGCTCTACTCATATGGTATTCATTTTATTTGTGCAGGTCTTAATAATACTTAAACTTCAGCTTAAAAATCCTGCAGATACCCTGTAAATCAATACATAAAGATTTTTTTCAGACTGTTATTTCATATGTCAGGCTTTACAGGGTTAAGAGGTGAATATCTTGATTATTTTATGTGCTTTTATTTGGCTATTAAATTTCCCATTCATTCCTGTCATTCAGTTTGATTTCGATTAGTTTTGATTCTTTTCTGTGAATCAGTTCAAACGGTCTGTTTCAGTGATTCAGTTCTAAATGATTAGTTTCAGAGCAACATCATGTGTTTTTTCTGTAACATCCCCTAGCCCTAATTCTGGGCCTCTCATCTGATGTTGCAGGTAGACTTCGAGGTGACCATCCCTGGCGAGGGGAAGGATCGCATCTTTAAAGTGTCCATTCACTGGCTGGCCAAAGTGTCGTGGCGGCTGCTGCAGGAGACGCTGGTCAGCGGACATCTGCAGGTCCCACTGGACTCTGTCCAAGCCCTCGATGTGGCCATGAGACACCTGGCCTCCATGAGGTACACTGCTCATGGACTTACAGGTCACAGACAAACATTAGGGGTTTAAAGGGATAGTTCACCCAAAAATGAAAATTACCCCATGATTTACTCACCCTCAAGACATTCTAGGTGAATATGACTTTCTTCTTTTAGACTAATTCAATTGGAGTTATATTAAAAAAATATCCTGGCTCTTCCAAGCTTTATAATGGCAGTGAATGGGTGTTTCTTGTCAGTAGTCCAAAAGAACTCTGATTGCATTTGTCTGAAAGAAGAAAGTCATAGACACCTAGGATGCCTTGAGGGTGAGAAAATCATGGGGTAATTTTCATTTTTGGGTGAACTATCCCTTTAACGATTTACTCATTTTCTCAATGCATCAATTACAATTACACTTAAAACAGTGTTATCTTAGTATCATTGAGATTCTTTTACATTTGAATTAACATTTTGATTAACTAATAATTTTTTTTTGCATATTTTATTTCTTCTGTTTTCATTTTAATATTTAAAGTTTTAGTAATTTTGTGTATATCCATATATATAAATGTGTATTAATTTGATTTCCATTTTAGTACAACTTAAATTAAATGAAAATGAGACATGTTGCCTAGCTAGCTGAAATAAAGCAAGTGTGAGTTTTTTTTTATTTTACTTTACATTTTTTCAAGTAACAAAAAATGTTTTAGTTGACCACAATAAACAGTTATTTCAGGCTAGAAAAAAAAATTAATGCTAAAAATGGAATGAATTGTGATTAAGTAAAGTGTCGGTAAAAATTTATAATATAAATGTATTCAATTACTTAGATGCTTAAATTATTGCAGATGGTGTGACGTTGCAATTTTATCATTGTTTATCATTGTTATTTCTAGACCAAGAAAACTCATGGAAATTAATCAAATTTTGTAAAAAAAAAAAATATATATATATTTTATTGGCACATTGTTATATTCCAAGTAGCCTGTATGTAATGCTTACTCTTAAGTTCATTGGTGCAGTAAACATTCCTTATTAGTTTGTCTTTTTCTTTTATTACCTAAGACACATTAGGAGAAGCATGTACGTAATCCTATGAACGCACTTAATACATAATCACATCATTATTGAAAATTAATCGGATCAAATCATTTGGAATTTGCTCAAATCGTTCCCGAGTCTAATCAAATTCAAACCCTAGTAAACATGCACTGGGTTTTATTTTTCTGACTTTTATGCTTTACTCTGCTAACTATTGTGTCCATCTCATCTGCAGGTACACTCCAGTGGGACGCTCCTTCTTCTCCCCTCCTGAAGGCTACTACCATCCTCTGGGTGGAGGCAGAGAGGTGTGGTTCGGTTTCCATCAGTCTGTTCGGCCGGCCATGTGGAAGATGATGCTCAACATTGATGGTATGACATGTCCTCTATTATTTCATGATCGCTCATTGTGCTTAAATACACGATATATATATATATATATATATATATATATATATATATATATACATTAAAACTCTCAATTTCTACTCTTCTCAGTATCTGCAACAGCCTTTTATAAAGCTCAGCCTGTCATTGAGTTCATGTGTGAAGTTCTGGACATCCGTAACATCGACGAGCAGCCGAAGACGCTTACTGACTCACAGAGGGTCCGTTTCACCAAGGAGATCAAAGGTGGGTTTCTTTATTTAGCAACATTATAACAAAATACCCTGGCAACCACTACTAAGAACACCTTTAGGAACTGCATAGTAACAACTTGACAACCATTTGAAAATGTAAATTTTTGCCAAATTTGGCTATTTTGTAGGGGGTTAATCAGTACTCAAAAATGACGGTTCGGTATGTAACCAAGTTTTGAAATCACGCTTTGGTATGATTTTGGCACAACGGAGAAAAACAAAACATTAAAATAGCTTATTTTTTATTAAATAGTGGTTTACTGAACAAACTATGATTCTGTATTTTAAATAAAAAAAGGTCCATGTTTTGTATCAATATTGTTTCAACTGGCGTCAGCACTCTTATTGTACTGGTTTATGGTTCTGTTGTAAATAGGGGAATAGATTTGAAATTCTGCCACCTTTGGATGCCAAATATTTTAGCAAAATATATATTATATTTTTATAATATTTTTTCATCCATGTTTTAATTTAGTTCTGTTGTGCAGCATCTTGTTATTTTTTGTAAAAAAATGTTTACATTTATTTTGTACATTTTATTTTTAATTTGAATACATTTTAAGATTGATTAAATTGTCAAAGTTGTATTAATCCATTTCATTAGACACCATTTTTGTTGATACATTTCTAATAAATCATAAAAAATAAAACGCAAAACACAGAATTTAGGGAAAAATAAAACCTACATTTAAAGGCAGCTACTTTTTAATTGTGAACAAACAAATCATGTTTGCATTCATTCTCCAGGTCTACCAAACATGTGGAAATAATTTCCTTCCCCATTAGTGGTAAATTAATATTGTGATAAATATCAATATTGTGTGATATAGAAAAAAAAAAGTATAATATTTTTGACCGTATCATCCAGCCCTATTTGGATGTGTTAAGTTTTGCACATGCAGTGGTTAAAACAACACTGCATTCATTCACTACACATGCATTCTGAACAGAAAACAGAAAATGTCATTCCGGATATGTGTTCATTACATTAGTTTGAGATGAAGTATCCGGTGAAGTCACTGGATGATCTCAGCGTCCTGCCACGGCTTTGTCTTCTAATTTATTTGTTGAAGTGGCTTGGATGAGTCATTTTGATATCATGCTTTTACACCGACATCGATTAAAAAAATCTAATGATGCAATCCTGAATCCTGAAAACCATCTTCATGCATTCCAAGAGGAATTATTGTGGACCCGGCATTTCATTTTAGTCTTAGACTGAAGATTGTAATTGCTGCTGTGGCTGGAAGTGGCGCCCAGTTTATTTAGTTAAAGGAACACTCCACTATTTTTGAAAATAAAATAGCTCATTTTCCAACTCCCCTAGAGTTAAACAGTTGAGTTTTACCGTTTTCGAATCCATTCAGCCGATCTCCGGGTCTGGCGGTAGCACTTTTAGCTGTAGCTTAGCATAGATCATTGAATCTGATTAGACCGTTAGCATCTCACTCAAAAATGACCAAAGAGTTTAGATATTTTTCCTATTTAAAACTTGACTCTTCTGTAGTTACATTGTGTACTAAGACCGACGGAAAATGAAAAGCTGCAATTTTCTAGGCCGATATGGCTAGGAACTATACTCTCATTCCGGCGTAATAATCAAGGAGCTTTGCTGCCATACCATGGGTATTACTCAGCGCCTGAAAATAGTCCCCAGCTAGATAACTTCCAATAAGCTTATTTTCAGGCGCTGAGTAATACCCATGGTATGGCAGCAAAGTTCCTTGATTATTACGCCGGAATGAGAGTATAGTTCCTAGCCATATCGGCCTAGAAAATTGCAGCTTTTCATTTTCCGTCGGTCTTAGTACACAATGTAACTACAGAAGGGTCAAGTTTTAAATAGGAAAAATATAGAAACTCTTTGGTCATTTTTGAGCGAGATGCTAACGGTCTAATCCGATTCAATGATCTATGCTAAGCTAAGCTAAAAGTGCTACCGCCAGACCCGGAGATCGGCTGAATGGATTCGAAAACGGTAAAACTCAACTGTTTAACTCTAGGGGAGTTGGAAAATGAGCCTATTTTCAAAAACAGTGGAGTGTTCCTTTTAATGCTGCTGAAATTCTGAAACTGTGCTGGTTCTGGTGCAGGAAACTGCGAAATAAAGTGCCTGCATGACAAAAACATAATTATCCGTCAATTAAATCTGACTCTTAAAGTATAGACAGTTCATTTATAATGCATTTGATTTATCTAATCACCTTAACAAGCTTCATAGCTCTGTTTAACTTCTTGTTTTGTTGGTGTCAGGTCTGAAGGTGGAGGTTACGCACTGTGGTCAAATGAAAAGGAAGTACCGCGTCTGTAACGTCACAAGACGTCCTGCTAGCCACCAAACGTGAGTATTGTGATGTGAAACTTTCTCTGAAGTCTTTAGCATTCATAGTATCATTTTCATGTGGGATTTCACACACTTGTTGCATTTTTCGTAATGTTCATACTTTAAGTAATTAATCCTGAATCGTCAGGTTTTGATATTTATTAAGTGACTGAAAATATTCACAGTTTTTGGAGGGTTGAAATCATTGACCGAAACGACAATGTTTAATTAGCACTACGATGGTGCATTTTGGCTTGTCATTGTTTCTATAAATATATATCCATTTGACATATTCATTATATTTTTACTTAACATTATTTGTCTTCATTATTTAATATTTGTTTGAATAAATCTGTCAGGAAAGCAGGTTTTTATTACAGCCACCATTTAAATGTTTATATTTCAACAACAAATTCGAATAGAAACATAATTATGTAATTATAAAATAAATTAATATAATAAATAAAATAAATACATTTTTAAAAACTCGTGCCTTATGTGCAGTTTAAATGTTTAGATGCAACTCAGTTTTTATTTGAGTGTTGATTATTAAATAAATGTAATTAATTGATTAATAAATAAACAATTTTCGGTTCTGGGTTTCGGCTTAATGAGATCTTTCTGTTTTGGTATGAAATTTATTTCGGCCACTAATTTCTCATTGTGCAGGGGTAAATTCTGAGTTAATGTTATTTGCATGTTTATGTAGCAGTGCTATTTTAGTATCATTGAGATCCTATTTTAGTTGATGTTAATATTTTAAAATAGATTTTATTTTTATATTTTCTGCTTTCATGTTAATTTTAGTCAACATTTTATTATTTGTGTGTTGTCATTTTTATGAGTTTTTGTCTATATCATTTTTTATTTCAGTTTTTATTTGAGTTTTTTTAGTACATCAAGTGAAATGGAAAAAATGTTGCCTTGGAAAATAGCTAAAGTAAAATAACTTTACATTATTTATATTAAATTTGATTTCAGTTAACATTTATTTTAAGTTTTTTTTTCATGATTTTAGTTTGTTAACCCTGTTATGTAGTTAATAACAGTTACTTCTGTGTCTGTATGAAATGCATATTTGTTTTCTGCTGTCAGATAGTTTGTCTAATAACTGCTAATCTGTCTAAACTCTGAGATCAGCGAATTAAGATCTTATCACTTGTGTCTCCAGGTTTCCCCTGCAGCTTGAGAGCGGACAGACGGTGGAATGTACCGTGGCTCAATACTTCAAGCAGAAGTACAACCTGCAGCTCAAATACCCCCACCTGCCCTGCCTACGGAGTTGGAAAATGAGCCTATTTTCAAAAACAGTGGAGTGTTCCTTTTAATGCTGCTGAAATTCTGAAACTGTGCTGGTTCTGGTGCAGGAAACTGCGAAATAAAGTGCCTGCATGACAAAAACATAATTATCCGTCAATTAAATCTGACTCTTAAAGTATAGACAGTTCATTTATAATGCATTTGATTTATCTAATCACCTTAACAAGCTTCATAGCTCTGTTTAACTTCTTGTTTTGTTGGTGTCAGGTCTGAAGGTGGAGGTTACGCACTGTGGTCAAATGAAAAGGAAGTACCGCGTCTGTAACGTCACAAGACGTCCTGCTAGCCACCAAACGTGAGTATTGTGATGTGAAACTTTCTCTGAAGTCTTTAGCATTCATAGTATCATTTTCATGTGGGATTTCACACACTTGTTGCATTTTTCGTAATGTTCATACTTTAAGTAATTAATCCTGAATCGTCAGGTTTTGATATTTATTAAGTGACTGAAAATATTCACAGTTTTTGGAGGGTTGAAATCATTGACCGAAACGACAATGTTTAATTAGCACTACGATGGTGCATTTTGGCTTGTCATTGTTTCTATAAATATATATCCATTTGACATATTCATTATATTTTTACTTAACATTATTTGTCTTCATTATTTAATATTTGTTTGAATAAATCTGTCAGGAAAGCAGGTTTTTATTACAGCCACCATTTAAATGTTTATATTTCAACAACAAATTCGAATAGAAACATAATTATGTAATTATAAAATAAATTAATATAATAAATAAAATAAATACATTTTTAAAAACTCGTGCCTTATGTGCAGTTTAAATGTTTAGATGCAACTCAGTTTTTATTTGAGTGTTGATTATTAAATAAATGTAATTAATTGATTAATAAATAAACAATTTTCGGTTCTGGGTTTCGGCTTAATGAGATCTTTCTGTTTTGGTATGAAATTTATTTCGGCCACTAATTTCTCATTGTGCAGGGGTAAATTCTGAGTTAATGTTATTTGCATGTTTATGTAGCAGTGCTATTTTAGTATCATTGAGATCCTATTTTAGTTGATGTTAATATTTTAAAATAGATTTTATTTTTATATTTTCTGCTTTCATGTTAATTTTAGTCAACATTTTATTATTTGTGTGTTGTCATTTTTATGAGTTTTTGTCTATATCATTTTTTATTTCAGTTTTTATTTGAGTTTTTTTAGTACATCAAGTGAAATGGAAAAAATGTTGCCTTGGAAAATAGCTAAAGTAAAATAACTTTACATTATTTATATTAAATTTGATTTCAGTTAACATTTATTTTAAGTTTTTTTTTCATGATTTTAGTTTGTTAACCCTGTTATGTAGTTAATAACAGTTACTTCTGTGTCTGTATGAAATGCATATTTGTTTTCTGCTGTCAGATAGTTTGTCTAATAACTGCTAATCTGTCTAAACTCTGATTTAAATCTTGAAATGAGATCAGCGAATTAAGATCTTATCACTCGTGTCTCCAGGTTTCCCCTGCAGCTTGAGAGCGGACAGACGGTGGAATGTACCGTGGCTCAATACTTCAAGCAGAAGTACAACCTGCAGCTCAAATACCCCCACCTGCCCTGCCTACAGGTGGGCCAGGAGCAGAAACACACCTACCTGCCCCTGGAGGTCAGTGCTGTCAACCGTACGCTTAGAACGACCATAGACGACATTCTCTGTTCTGATATGGTTTGCTGTTCTCGCAGGTGTGTAATATTGTAGCAGGGCAGCGGTGCATCAAGAAACTGACAGATAATCAAACCTCCACCATGATCAAAGCCACAGCGCGATCAGCACCAGACAGACAGGAGGAGATCAGCAGACTGGTGAGTGGCATTTATATCTATAGTCACGCACTTAATTTGGTTGCGTAATAATTCGTATCCACAGCATCTATGTATTTAACCCTCTTCTCTCATGTTCCTGCTGTCCGTGCGGTCCATCTGAATGAGTTCAGGTTGCTGTCTGTGTTAATGGAGGTCAGCCATGATGTTGATTAGCTGATTAGCTGTGATCTCTCTACAAGAGCACTTTGTGAACTCTTTACCCCGTTCCCTGCAGATTTACAGTCTTTCCAGCTGTCAGTTCTGAGCTAATAACGCGTGATTGAAGCTCTGCTGCTCTTTATACCTTATTAAAATGACAGCCAATCAGGTGCTGAATCAGTGTTGCCGTGGCTGATTTTTCATTTAGATGCAGAAATCTCTAAACAAGAGTGGAGAGGCTGCGTGGGAGGAATGCAACTGACGAGGCCAATGAAATGCCTCAAAACGAAAAAGTCTCGCTTTGAGACTGAGCTTAAAATACCACGGTGAGAGTATTTTTACACTGTGAAGTACAGCAGGATCTGAGCTGGGATATCTTCAGCTCGCAGCATGAAATGCTTCTGATAAACATCCTGCGTGTTCACTCCATCTCAGGAGAGTTTCTTCATTTCAGTCTCATTTAATCTGAATTCTGGCAGTTTTACCAGTGATCAGGCCTGCAGGAGTTAAAGTGTTAACATATGAGTAGTTTTATTAATTCAAAATATAGGTTTTAAAATGGACTCATTTTAGGACTAATAGACAGCTATTTTAGTATTATTTGTGTAATATTATAGCTATTATTTTTATATTTTAAATTATGTGCTTTTGTAATTTTTATTATATATTTTTTAAATATATGTGCATATTGAATTTAGTTTAGTGATTTTAGTTCTTCAAAAAGTTGTGATTTTCTAGGCCGATATGGCCGATATGGGTGCAGCAGGCGCAATGATATTACGCAGCGCCTGAAAATAGTCCCCAGCTAGATAACTTCCAATAAGCTTATTTTCAGGCGCTGAGTAATACCCATGGTATGGCAGCAAAGTTCCTTGATTATTACGCCGGAATGAGAGTATAGTTCCTAGCCATATCGGCCTAGAAAATTGCAGCTTTTCATTTTCCGTCGGTCTTAGTACACAATGTAACTACAGAAGGGTCAAGTTTTAAATAGGAAAAATATAGAAACTCTTTGGTCATTTTTGAGCGAGATGCTAACGGTCTAATCCGATTCAATGATCTATGCTAAGCTAAGCTAAAAGTGCTACCGCCAGACCCGGAGATCGGCTGAATGGATTCGAAAACGGTAAAACTCAACTGTTTAACTCTAGGGGAGTTGGAAAATGAGCCTATTTTCAAAAACAGTGGAGTGTTCCTTTTAATGCTGCTGAAATTCTGAAACTGTGCTGGTTCTGGTGCAGGAAACTGCGAAATAAAGTGCCTGCATGACAAAAACATAATTATCCGTCAATTAAATCTGACTCTTAAAGTATAGACAGTTCATTTATAATGCATTTGATTTATCTAATCACCTTAACAAGCTTCATAGCTCTGTTTAACTTCTTGTTTTGTTGGTGTCAGGTCTGAAGGTGGAGGTTACGCACTGTGGTCAAATGAAAAGGAAGTACCGCGTCTGTAACGTCACAAGACGTCCTGCTAGCCACCAAACGTGAGTATTGTGATGTGAAACTTTCTCTGAAGTCTTTAGCATTCATAGTATCATTTTCATGTGGGATTTCACACACTTGTTGCATTTTTCGTAATGTTCATACTTTAAGTAATTAATCCTGAATCGTCAGGTTTTGATATTTATTAAGTGACTGAAAATATTCACAGTTTTTGGAGGGTTGAAATCATTGACCGAAACGACAATGTTTAATTAGCACTACGATGGTGCATTTTGGCTTGTCATTGTTTCTATAAATATATATCCATTTGACATATTCATTATATTTTTACTTAACATTATTTGTCTTCATTATTTAATATTTGTTTGAATAAATCTGTCAGGAAAGCAGGTTTTTATTACAGCCACCATTTAAATGTTTATATTTCAACAACAAATTCGAATAGAAACATAATTATGTAATTATAAAATAAATTAATATAATAAATAAAATAAATACATTTTTAAAAACTCGTGCCTTATGTGCAGTTTAAATGTTTAGATGCAACTCAGTTTTTATTTGAGTGTTGATTATTAAATAAATGTAATTAATTGATTAATAAATAAACAATTTTCGGTTCTGGGTTTCGGCTTAATGAGATCTTTCTGTTTTGGTATGAAATTTATTTCGGCCACTAATTTCTCATTGTGCAGGGGTAAATTCTGAGTTAATGTTATTTGCATGTTTATGTAGCAGTGCTATTTTAGTATCATTGAGATCCTATTTTAGTTGATGTTAATATTTTAAAATAGATTTTATTTTTATATTTTCTGCTTTCATGTTAATTTTAGTCAACATTTTATTATTTGTGTGTTGTCATTTTTATGAGTTTTTGTCTATATCATTTTTTATTTCAGTTTTTATTTGAGTTTTTTTAGTACATCAAGTGAAATGGAAAAAATGTTGCCTTGGAAAATAGCTAAAGTAAAATAACTTTACATTATTTATATTAAATTTGATTTCAGTTAACATTTATTTTAAGTTTTTTTTTCATGATTTTAGTTTGTTAACCCTGTTATGTAGTTAATAACAGTTACTTCTGTGTCTGTATGAAATGCATATTTGTTTTCTGCTGTCAGATAGTTTGTCTAATAACTGCTAATCTGTCTAAACTCTGATTTAAATCTTGAAATGAGATCAGCGAATTAAGATCTTATCACTTGTGTCTCCAGGTTTCCCCTGCAGCTTGAGAGCGGACAGACGGTGGAATGTACCGTGGCTCAATACTTCAAGCAGAAGTACAACCTGCAGCTCAAATACCCCCACCTGCCCTGCCTACAGGTGGGCCAGGAGCAGAAACACACCTACCTGCCCCTGGAGGTCAGTGCTGTCAACCGTACGCTTAGAACGGCCATAGACGACATTCTCTGTTCTGATATGGTTTGCTGTTCTCGCAGGTGTGTAATATTGTAGCAGGGCAGCGGTGCATCAAGAAACTGACAGATAATCAAACCTCCACCATGATCAAAGCCACAGCGCGATCAGCACCAGACAGACAGGAGGAGATCAGCAGACTGGTGAGTGCTGACCTCTAGTGTGCTCTAGCTTTTCATAGAGTGAGCACTGGCTAGTGCATTGTTGTCATGGTTACATAGGCAGGGTATTTTTACCTGTAGGATAATATAGTGCTGGAAAATACAGCAAAAAGAAAGAAAGAAATATTTGTTTTTTGAGCCTTTTGATGATATCTCAATAGTTGCATTAAATGCATTAAATGGCTTCAAGTTTTTCAATCAAAAGAATCATAATTTCACTCACACACACACACACACACATATATATTTATAATTTAATAGATATATATTAATATACATTATTTTTAATTATTTAATTTACATCTCAGTATTTATGCATTTGCTATTAAATGGCTTGCTATTACAATTTTCAATCAAAGGAACCGTCATTTCAACCAAAGCCATTGTTGCCAACCAGCAATGTTTGAGATTTGTAACATTTGAATATATCTCAATATTTATGCATTTGATATTAAATGCCTTAAAATAGTGGTCACCAACCTTTTTAGGCCCAAGATCCCTGACCTCGGCCTTTATGAAAGACAAGATCTACCTATTGAAGAACTGATAGAAAAAGACATCCCAGATTGTGCTTCAAATTTGAGGCCTTTTACTTAGTATTTTAATTAGTGATGCGCCGGTCATAGCTGATTCAGAATTCAGATTTTCTTTTTTAACTAGCCAATTGGATTCTGATACTGATACAGATTTTTAAGCAAATGTATTTATTGGCTATTTGCTTTATAACAAACAAACTGGCTTTAAACTAAAATATCTAGCCATTTAAAATTAGAGGCAACCACTGCATTTTAATCACCATCTGCACGGGCAGTTGTTTTTGATTTGATTTAGATTAATTTCAGGATTTAAAACAAAAACAGAATGGTCTGACTTTAGGTGTTATTTATTTATTTGCTACTTAAACATCTGCACGAAACAAAAACAGCAGGTCTGAATGAGACGTACTCTCTGACAGCAGGTGGCACTAATGAACAGGGTTGCCACGTTTTCGCAATAAATCTAGTCCAATCCTGTTTCGAGGGGGGTTCCCCTGTAAAAATCGCATTCCGGGGGTAAAATACATGTTTTTTTCGGCGGGGACGTTCCAGTAAAATTCACATTCCAGGGGCTAAATATCACGTTATTGGGGTCGCTTCAACACGCGGACATGAATAACAACCCGTGGCAACAGTGTTAAAGTAGCCCTATTCCGCGGGAAAACCGCAGACTTGGCAACACTGCTTATGAACCGACCGCAATATAGCGTTTCCTTGTGTACCGCTGTAAACAAAGCAGCGCTGCGCTTTATACGGAGGAGAAGAAAATGCCATTGCCATCGAAACTTTTCTCAAGAGAGTTCCCTTCAGTGATACATTAATATAACCCCAGAAATGTAATGCATTTTTGTACTTATTTTACTGTTATTTTCAGGATCTACTGGGACAGTGATAAAGATCTACCAGTCGATCGCGATTGACGGGTTGGTGACCACTGCCTTAAAAGATCCGTTATTTCAACCAAAGTCATTGAGACCAAGTAGATATGTAATTTGTAACATTTGTCACATAAAAAAACTAAAAATATTTGTGAAAATGGCAACATTTTAAAAATTATTTTTCTGCCTTTTGATGATATTTGATATACATCTCAATATTTATGCATATTAATAAATCTCAATATTTATGCATTTTGTATTGATTGACTTTATATATATATATATATACACACAGTGGGTACGGAAAGTATTCAGACCCCC